CACGTGAACACGGGAGGCAGAGTTTGCAGTAAGCTGAGATGGTGACATTGCACTCCAGCCTGGGCAACAAGAGCAAAACTCCATTTCAGAAAAAAAAAAAAAAAATTGTTTTTCGGGACCTGGCACAGTGGCTCACACTTGTAATCCCAGCACTTTGGGGGGTTGAGGATCACCTGAGGTCAGGAGCTAAAGACCAGCCTGGCCAACATGGCAGAACCCCATCTCTACTAAAAAAAAAAAATAAATACAAAAACTAGCCAGGCATGGTGGTGGGTACCTGTAATCCCAGCTACTCAGGAGTTGAGGCAGGGAGAATCACTTAAAACCGGGAGGCAGTGGAAGACAGTGTGGCTATTCCTCAAGGACCTAGAAATAGAAATTCCATTTGACCCAGTAATCACATTACTGGGTATATATCCAAAGGATTATAAATCGTTCTACCATAAGGACACATGCACACGAATGTTCACTGCAGCACTGTTTACAATAGAAAAGACTTGGAACCAAACCAAATGCCCATTGATGATAGATTGGACAGGGAAATTGTGGCATATATACACCATGGAATACTATGCAGCCATCAAAAATGATGAGTTCGTGTCCTTTGTAAGGACATGGATGAAACTGGAAACCATCATTCTCAGCCAACTGACACAAGAACAGAAAATCAAACACCGCATGTTCTCACTCATAGGCCGGTGTTGAACAATGAGAACACATGGACACAAGGAGGGAAGAAATAGGGGAGGGACAGCAGGGGGTGGAGAGTTGGGGAGAGATAGCATGGGGAGAAATGCCAGATATGGGTGATGGGGTGGAAGGCAGCAAATCACACTGCCATATATGTACCTATGTAACAATCTTGCATGTTCTTCACATGTACCCCAAAACCTAAAATGCAATTAAAAAAAAAAAAGGGAGGCAGAGGTTACAGTGAGCCAAGATTGCACCACTAAATTCCAGCCTGGGCAGCAGAGCAAGACTCTGTCTCCAAGAAACAACAACAAAAAAGTGTTTTCAAGTTCAGTTCCTGGTCTTTAAGAGTGACTGGGACTGAGCGCAGTGGCTCACACCTGTAATCTTAGCACTTTGGGAGGCTGAGGAGGTCAGATCACTTGAGGTTAGGAGTTCAAGACCAGCCTAGCCAACATAGTGAAACCCCTGTCTCTACTGAAAATACAAAAATTAGCTGGGTGTGGTGGCAGTTATACCTATAATACAGGAGGCTGAGGCAGGAAAATCACTTGAACCTGGGAGGCGGAGGTTGCAGCAAGCCGAGATTGTGCCACTACACTCCACCTTGGGTGACAGAGTGAGACTCCATCTCAAAAAAAAAAAAAAAAAAAAGCCAGGCGCCGTGGCTCACGTCTGTAATCCTAGCACTTTGGGAGGCTGAGGCAAGCAGATTGCCTAAGCCCAGGAGGTCAAAACCAGCCTGGGCAACACGGTGAAACGCCATCTCTACTAAAATTACAAATTAGCCAGGTGTGGTGGCTTGCACCTGTAATGCCCAGTACTCAGGAGACTGAGGCAGGGGGATTGCTTGAATCCATGAGGCAGAGGTTGTAGTGAGCCCAGATCGCACCACTGCACTCCATCCTGGGTGACAGAACGAGACTCTGTCTCAAAAATAAAATAAAAAGAGTGACTGGAATAGGATACGTGAATGCCAGTGAATACACTTGAAAATCCTCATTCTGCCAGTTCTCCAACTGGGGTTTGGCATTTGCTTTCGCTATCATTTTTATCCTTTAGCTCAGCTAACCCCAGGTATGACCTAGAAAAGGGGCAGGCCTGCTGAGAGAGAATTTGAGACTCACTTTGTTTTCAAGGCAGAAAGGAAATTGTGAGGGAGATGAGAGACTCATTCCTATGTTGGTTGGTTGAGCACTGAAAATTGTCTACCTTTTGCATTCTGGCTTCCATTGGATACTAGTAGCAGAGTCCTCAGATGTATAACACTGCAGTAAAATCTCACTCATCTAAATGACTGGGAAAGCTATTAGGAATTTCTAAAGATATAAAATATGAGCCATTTGTTCATGTTTCTCACCTTCAAGTACATAGATTGTCACCTACATGAATAGTATCTTTAAAGGCTCTATTTTAAAATTATTATAATTTAATTTTTTTATTATACTTTTAAGTTCTGGGATACATGTGCAGAACGTTAGTTACATAGCCATATACACATGCCATGGTGGTTTGCTGCATCCTGCCATCTACGTTAGGTATTTGTCCTAATGCTATCTCTCCCCTAGCCCCTACCCACAAGAGGCTCTACTTTAATGGTAGCTATTTCACTGATCTTCCTTTCATTATAAAATTAGCAGCCAGTGGCCAGGCTCGGTGACTCACGCCTGTAATCCTAGCACTTTGGGAGGCTGAAGTGGGTGAATCACAAGGTCAGGAGTTGAAGACCAGCCTGGCCAACATGGTGAAACCTCATCTCTACTAAAAATAGAAAAATTAGCCAGGCGTGGTGGTGCATACCTGTAATCCCAGTTACTCGGGATGCTGAGGCATGAGAGTTGCTTGAACCTGGGAGGCAGAGGTTACAGTGAGCAGAGATCACTCTACCCTGGGCAACACGGTGAGACTCTGTCTCAAAAATAAATAAATTAAAATTAGCAGCCACTCCAGCCCTGTACAGAGATTTTTTTTGTAATTCCAAGTATTATTAATTAATGAGAGTTACTATTGCATAGAATGGTCATGATATATTTGGATCTTGGTTTTTGTTTGTTTTTGAGACAAGAGTCTCGTACTATCACCTGGGCTAGAGTGCAGTGATTGTATTTTTAGTAGAGATGGGGTTTCAATATGTTGGCCAGGCTGTTCTCAAACACCTGACCTTGTGATCCACCC